AATTCGCAAATAATTTCGTTAAATTTGGTTCGCGCTCGTTTGCCAACTCGATTGGAAAATTATCAACCAACAATTTCCAAATTTTCCTGCTGGAGACAGGTTTGAGTGTGACAGCAGTGTTTGGGGATAGGGACACGGCAAACGGCGGGCATAGAGAGCTTTATTGCAAAAGTAAATCATTTCGTTTGCAGCAGAATCGAAATTAATATTTGATAAATGCACAATTGCACATATACCTTGGTCAGTGACAAATATTAATGAATGTACGCCTCGCTTATGTGTATCATAAAAACCACGATGCGATTCATTTAGCTGTTGTGTGAATGTGAAAGAGAGACAGCGATAGAACGAGCACGACAGAAGGAAGAGGAGGAGAAAGAGTACGCGCAAAGGGATATTGCAACTTTTTTGACCAGAAAAAACGCCATCTTACGTCGTGCTCGTAAATTATTTTACTGTACATTTCGATGGTAGAGCTTGAACAAAAGTTCAACACTATGCATAAACTCGGAAAGAGCTTGATAAACTTGATGAAATACATATATTTTATGGTAGTTGCAATACCCCTATGAGTACGCGTGTCGAATACACACCAACTTTCCAGCCATTTTGTTTGTTTTTATTATTTTATCGTTCAATTTTCCGCTGGAAAACGCCAAAATGGTAATATTTCAACATTTGTTCACGTGTGTGCAGCATAGCGCAGCACACAAACTATCGTCAAAATGAACTGCCGCAGAACAGTTGCTTAATTATTAATTAGAATCAAATGCCACAACTTTGAAAATCCAATGCGAATGTGTGAGCGAACAGAGTGCTTCACAGTGCTTGGCTAGTTTGAGTTATTTACAATTGCAAATGTAGTGAGATAATGTTCTGCTGTTGTTTGCAGATCCAAATAGTGTTTTATATCCCATTTCATGCGCTTTTTGGTCAACAACGCTGCCTCGTGTAAAAATGATGAATTTTTTTTCTGTTTTGTTTGGGTTGCGAGAGATAAAGGTGAACATATCAAAGCCATTTTATGATTAAATAGAGAGAGAGAGAGAGAGAGAGAGAGAGAGAGAGTCGTGCCATTTTACTTTACTTTATTTGCTGACGATCACATAAACGATTCATAAAATTATTATAACGAACAATGTTTCATTTCAAGCAATACACTCGTCGTTATTAAATGGCTTAAAAAAAGTTACCCACAAGTGCCACGTCCGGTTATTTTTTAATAGAACTGGTGATTTGCTAGTGGTGTGTTAAAAAAAAAAAACAGGAGAATATTGTTAAAATAGCATCATTTGGAGAGAAATTAAATTTTTCACATTTGGCCATATGTTATGCACTGTTGTAAATTCAGTCATATTCCATTGTTTTACGACCGATTTAACAATGCAATTTATTTTCACAACAATTCCAGACCGATGCTTGTTCAAATAGTGCGAGTTTTTCACTTTTCCTCTTACTCTCACAGTGTGTACGTCGCTCTGCAATCCTATCTTATTGCTTGGTCACTCGAGTCTTTCCCTCTCTCCCTTCCTCCCACTCTACTTCTCTTTCGGTACATGCATTGCTACAGCAGGATAATATCATTTTGTGCTTTTATTTATCATTGGTTAGAGCGAATATAAAAGTTGCTGCCCCGAAAGCCACAAGCACAACAGCGACCGAACGACAAAAACGATGAAAATATGTACGCTATGAATGGTCTATAAAATGGCACTGGCTGGAGCATATGTTAGATTGTAGCACTTTTATGTACATATATGTATCTTTTTACAATGACACACTGGCCACCACCACCACCACAACCACCATCATGCACCATGGAGGCACTACATGGAAAATGAAATTGAGTTACACATAAATCTACATTTCAACAGCAAAAGCCGAAAGCAAAAGAACAAGCAATGATATGTGGAACAAACTCATAAGTTCCCATCATTTCAATGCGTAATTAACAAACATAGCTCGTATTTTAATTGGAATCAACGTAACAAATCACATTTTCAGCTAATAAAACTGGGTTATTTCTAAATCCAATGGAGAAATTCACATCACCAAGGTACATCAACTTGTACCAAAAACAAAAAGAAGAAAGAGTCACCTTTCGAAGAAACAAAATATCCGAATAACAAACTTTCGGTTCGCTTACTTCCTACGGCATTAGTTCCACAACAAAATATAAATTCTATGCATAGTTGTGTTCAACAAGTTTTATGATGTTCTCAAAATAAGCAATAAAATTACTTTGACAGCTCATTGTGAGCGGAGTTTTCGGAAAACTAAGACATTCATTATGCAGTAGTATAAGAGCATCAAGTAGAAAGAGTTCTCCGTTGTTTCAATTCTGTCACAAGCCAATTGCGTTTCCTGTAATTTTCTATTCAAAAGTAATCTCAATTCAATACGGAACAAACATGTTTTCGTCATTTTCTGCATTTCAAATGTGCAATTTGCTGGAGTTTATTGTGTTTATTCCCTTCTTCTGAATGAAAAGGTGAATTCGATGGAAAATTTTCCATCTTGCTCGCTACACATGTTCATTCACAAAATTAAGAGGTACAACTTGATCCGAATTACGTGTAATCTCGTTTAAAATTGTAACCTGTGTTTCAGAAGCAATTTCTCTCCTGAGTTACGTTTTTTCCTCCTTTTTTTTCTTTCTTTCTTTTCGTTCTGATTATTACAATTTATGGTTTGGCTGCCGCCATTCCAATGCGAAAATGGTCGCTCATTTTTGTACAGTGCAAATGCATTTATCATTTATGTTTACGGCTAAAGTTTCAACAATTCCTTTTGTCTGGCGTGGATTTAATAGTTTTTTACTGTACAGCCCATGTTCCGTAGTCACTTCGTCTTTGTTGGTTTTTTTTTTCACTTGAAAACTTCAACTCTGGAATTAATCGAGTTGATAATTGTGTATGTGCGGCACACACTTGTACACACCAGAACAACAGGAACAAACAGAAAAAATGTAGTAAATCGACGAAAAGCATACACAACCGATGCATCGAAGTTTTTGAGGGTGAACGAAGTAAAATATTTAAAATATTATATTGGCTGGTTAATTTTTGGATGGTTGTGTATATGTGTTTCAAAGGGAAAAGTTTTGGTTGTTGCTTGTTTTACAGAGTTAACAGGAAAAGTGGCTGAAATGTGCATTAAAATGAATGAAAAGCCGGCGGCAGTCGAAATGTTCCATCATAATGCATGGCAATTTAGTTCTGACAGTTTAAACGTGCTTTGCTGTAACACCAGCGCTCACGATCATTAGCAATGCATTTCCGAATGGAAATTACATTATTGTTTCATCATTATGTGTGTGCATAAACTTTTGACGGTAATGAGCTATTAGTGCGGAACAAAATCTCATTCAATGGGATTTTTTGATACCTTTGTTTGATGATATTCCTGTTGGAAATCAATTGACGAATTTGTTATAAATAATATGTTTGATCTTGCAGTGGCACTTTATCATCAGGAATCATAATAACCAAACATTTGCATTTAACATGGTTATTAAGTACCAGTTAATCATCACAGAAGTAGCATGAATCTACGAAAAAATTATGTGTTTCACTAAAAACACAGAAAATTGTATGTTATTCCATTGAAAACGGTGCCAAATCATCTGCAACTTGATGCATTCAAGTATAATTTCATTGGTGTTGTCATAAAACATTTTGGGAATTTTCGTTGCCTCGCTCACGTAATAATAAACATGAAACAATTTAGCAGAAATATATCATGGTGCCGCATTCCAACATTTAAATAAACACTAAAATTTTCATGCAATTCTTCCTTTTCACGTCATGTGTGTGCAATGCGAAAACAATGTGCATGCATTTTGCATGTTTTACTTGGGCAATTTCTCGTGCGGCATTACGCTGCATTTATGATTAAAATGAAATCAGTTTTTTTAGTTCAGAGGATAGGCAGAAATTCTAGCGTAATTTCAAAAGGACGCATTCAAGTCAATTCAAGTTCTTCTTTTCGATGGAGATTTTTTTCTTCCAAGTAACTTACCTCGTCAGCGAATGGTTCGATCCAAACGACTTGCTCCACTTTTTCTTCCTGCTTACTGCTCGCATCACTGCTTGTTGTCGCCTGAGGTATTGTCCATGGTTTATCCTCCTCCGCTTCTGGCCATAGGCATCGCGGAATCAAAAAAATGTTCTCTGCATCCACCGATTGATAGTCACCGTGTTGCGTTTGAACATTTCTCGAATTTTTCGCGCCACTTGAATCCGAGGCATTCACCATTTCTACACCGGGTGCATCGACCACGTGAACAGCGCTATCTGTTGGCGTATAGGTGATATTTTCACTTTCATTCATTTTTCTGTATTTTCACGATTTCACAATGATTCGTTCTCAATTGTTTCAAGAATTTAAAATTCAATCGAGTTATAAGTATTTAAAATGTACGCGAAAACCTTATTTCCTTCGCTAGACACTTGTTGGTCAATTTGAGATTCTCTGGAGATGAGTGAAAGAGCAAGCACACTAGGTATAAGAATAAACAAGATTATATTTTTTTAAATCTTCACTGAACCACACCAAAAAGCGGAAAAAGTCACAATTTTCGTACTGAATATTGTAAAATCAGCCAGAACCAGAATCATTAAGCGTTCAAATAGTGAATGTCAGAAGAGAAGTCTTCGTCTCGCGTGTTGTTTACTCGAAACTTTCAACGCAGCACAGTGTTTACTACGATTTTACCACCAAATGGACAAAAAAACCAACGAAAAGAATTATTTATCTTAATTTGTCACAATAAAATGAAGCACTGTGCCAATTTAATTGAATATTCGTCACTCGGAACTCAATGAAAGCGTTTTGTTTTAGCGGCTCGTCAATACCCACGTTTGTGTTTATCAATATCAAAACAAACTTTAAGGTTATGTACCATATGAAAGCGCGACCTTTATGTCTCGCGTATTTGACACTTTTCGCATTGTCTCGCCGCTGACATATGCGCTATGCTAAATGAAAAGACCAATCCATTATTTTAGAAGGTTCAAATTCTTATGCTTTTATTTATCATGATTTCCATTAAAAATAATAAATGATTCACATGTGAATGGGTTTGTTCATTTTGGTTGCTGTTGTTGTTGCTGTGGTTTTTTGTGTTGGAAATTGCCCGGACGATTGCCCTGGTTGCGCTGTTGAAATGTGTTTCGATTTTGGTTACCACCTTGGCCCGGTCGTCCCAAGCCTTGTCGTTGGTTTTGTTGGTTTCGGTTGCCTTTCATTTCCTGGCGATTCCGTGCCTTCATTTGGGCATCCTCTTTCACCATATCAATCACCTCGTCCGGAATACGCAAGTATTTGATTGTACTGCCACGAATGTAGCATTCAGGCATACGCCAGAAACGATCACCATCCTGCGAAAAAGGAGCGGAAGAGTGTAGTCAATGGATTTTGCTCAGAATAAAAAATTGGCCCAGAATAAAATAATTGAACAGAAAATAAGTTCATTCACAATTCGTGCAAAGAATAAATTCGTTGCTCGAAAAAAATCTAAGAGGAAACTAAATCGTACGAAACGAAGAAAAATGAAATTGTTTCATACCTTTGATGTGCAAATCACTTCACGTAAATTGATATTCATCCATGTATCGCAGCTCACCAAATGTCCGTTGTATGTTTCGCCGTTCTTCAATTCGACCAACTAGAAATGGAATTGAAGGTTGAAATTTCGTGCAACGAGAGAACCGGCATTCAGAATGACGGTACTGAGTCATTGTAAAATCAATAGATGTACAACCGAGAATACTTACCATTGGATGGCTTTGTGCCGTCTTCAACAAGGAAAGTGGTAGCTGAAAGAAAACAAAGAGAAATTTAGCTTCATTTCAAGGGAAAAAAACTCAAATATTTTCGTTTGAATTTACCATTTTGATTTGATGTTATATTCAGATGATGTAAATCGTCTGGGTTCGAGTCAAATAAATAGCAAAGCTAAACGTTTATGTTGTAAAAGCATCAAACTGTCACGTTATGTCAAACACTCACAGACTGTCAAACCAAGTAGAAAGACCGATGCATGGTTGAACAAACTTGTTGGACGTCGAATGAAAGCTGTTGAATGTTTAATTTCGATTCTTATGAAAATACAGTAGTTTTTCCTGCAAATTCGTATTAAAAAATGTTTCTATGAAAAATCAAAGCAATATCGAGTTGAAATTAGCCAATATTTGTCGATTCCCAACGAAAATTCCTTTTCCATTCATTCCATTCACTTGTCTTTGTTTCACCCTGTGCACACAGTGAAACGTAGATGGCGCCTTCGGCAAATTTCTATATAAAATTGACTGTGACATATTTCAATACAATATGTAAACTGTGTGTTGCGAGTGTGTTGAGCGCACTTAAATCCCAAGTTTTGCTGCGATTGTTTCTTTTACATTTTTCACATTTTCTAATTTATAAAAAAATCCGTAAAAAACTCAACGTTTGTGTTTTTTTTTCTAAGCAGCTTGGGATCAATTAGATTGGTGCATAGTTTTATGCATTATTTAGATAGGGAAAATACGTGAATATCGTTTTTTTACGAAAAAGAAAAAGTGAATTTGCTTGAATAGCAGACAAAACATACACAACATTGGAAAATGGCTAGCACTTCAAGGTAAAATTGTTTATTTCGTATCGTTTATTGCATCGTAAAACGAGAACAAACAACCGAAAAGTATTAGAATCAACAGAAATTGTTGAAAGTTTTTTTTTGTGGCGCATTACAACATGTTATGAAAATATTTGCTGCGTGTCTCGGAATGTGATTATGTGTGCAAAAAAAAGTAGAAAGAAAATCCAAGGGAATATTTGCATCAAAGATCAATTTAAAGTGGTGCCATTAATATTTTGCCCAACCAAAGTCTACTAACGGTATTTTGGTCTCAATATCACATCACGAGATATCGTACCACGAGACGCATGACATGAATGTTCGTTCATTGATTTTTTTTTGCTATCAAACAAGCAAATACATCGCATTACAAATTCATGCTGAATCTTTAATGATGTGAGACACTCGAAAATGGAACATTTAATTCCCAAGAAAAATGGCCACAACACAACACACATTGTCTGAATACAAAAATAGGCCGTTTTAAAAATAAAACACAACAAAACAGATGTGGAAACAGAATGTTTTTATCGATTGGAATTATAAAGAATATATTGGCAATAAAAACAAAATGCACGCTCTACAAACAATCGACACGAATCGCTTTCACTTCTTGCGTCACAATTGACGCATCTCAGAAATCGCTCATTGCTGAGCAAGCACAGGACCTATTTATGTATGATACAGTGAAATTCCACGAAAAATCCGAATTTTGATAAGATTTGTGTATTTTTTAAGCAATTTGTAATTAAAATTATTCGGTTCATTGTTTTTGTTTTTTTTTTCAGAACTGAGGGTATGATGAATAAAGTTGTGTGCTATGCACATCCAGAAGCACACTTGATCGAAGATTACAGAGCAGGCGACATGATTTGTTCGGAATGCGGTTTGGTGGTTGGCGATCGTGTTATAGATGTGGGCTCTGAATGGAGAACATTCAGCAATGAAAAATCTGGCGTCGATCCATCTCGTGTCGGTGGACCCGAGAATCCTTTATTGAGTGGTGGCGATTTATCCACCATGATTGGCCCAGGAACTGGTTCAGCATCATTTGATGGATTTGGAAGTAAGGAAACGCATCAGTGGAAATATTGACATATTTTTATTTCAATATATTTGTTTCATTCAGATGCCAAATACCAGAATCGTCGAACAATGAGCAGTTCAGACCGTGCTTTGATTGCCGCATTCAAGGAAATCTCCCAAATGGCCGACCGTATTAATTTGCCAAAAACTATCGTGGATCGGGCCAATAATCTGTTCAAGCAAGTGCATGACGGTAAAAATCTCAAGGGTCGTTCGAACGACGCTAAGGCATCAGCATGTTTGTACATAGCTTGTCGACAGGAGGGAGTACCACGTACATTTAAGGAAATCTGTGCAGTGAGCAAAATTAGTAAGAAGGAAATTGGTCGTTGCTTCAAACTCACATTGAAAGCACTTGCTACATCTGTTGACCTCATCACCACCGCTGACTTTATGTCACGGTTCTGCGCCAATTTGGGTAAATCATATGGTTTCTTTTCGATTGATTGAAAACCAACTAAATGCATTCTATTTTGCTTTGTTTAGACCTGCCGAATATGGTTCAACGTGCAGCGACACATATCGCACGCAAAGCCGTCGAAATGGACATTGTACCTGGTCGATCGCCGATATCAGTGGCTGCCGCTGCAATTTACATGGCATCACAGGCATCAGAGCAAAAACGAAGCCAAAAGGAAATCGGTGACATTGCCGGTGTGGCCGACGTAACCATTCGTCAATCGTATAAACTGATGTATCCACACGCAAGCAAACTTTTCCCTGAAGATTTCAAATTCGCTACACCGATCCACATGTTGCCTGCAGTTTAAGAGAAAAAAGAAAAACAGTTCTATTTTTATTGTTGGAAATTCTTTACATCAGTTAAAATACTTTACCTCACTTACTTTTCGACCCCTGCAAGAATCCAATTAGTTTTTATTTTATGTACGGACCTTTTCTTTCGTCTGCATTCTTTTTATAACCGAAGCGACTCTGGAAACAGTTTTAAATAACAGAATGCTGTTGATATATATGTGAAATAGTACAAACTACTATCGATTGAATGAACAAGAACATTGAACATGAAAAAAAATCTTATTTTTCCTCTGCTTTTTTTCCCACAAAATTATTTAAGAAACAATCACTTATATTTCCTTTTTTATAACTTTATTCAATATTATTTCGAAATGTAGAGGATAGACAGAAATCATGTAATAATTTTGCACGAAAATTATTATTAAAGTGGACTTTTGAGAATTTAAAATTGGTTGGCGGTTTTCTTTTTTATTTTTTTTTTCAATTTGTATTAACCATGAATCCCAGACAGAAATATTCATCAATGCATTTTTTATTTCAATTTGTTATTCATGGATTGAAAGTATGCAAATTTTGACACATCACGAATGAAACTGGACCAACTTCAAGTCGGTCGAAATCATCACTTTAAATGCTTGATTCACTTATCATATATCACAGTGCACTTTTGGCGCCTTTTGCTTAGAACATGTCGTATTTCGAGGTAAGCACACAGTGCATCGTTTTTTCTTCATTTTTTTGCATCATCATTTTGTGTGAGGACCATTGAATTGGATTAAATATGCATTACCATTTGACAAATGATTATTTTGTTGTTGCTATCGGATCAATAGAATAAATCGCACCGATAGAAAAAAAAAATCAACACTTGCCTTCGATTTTGCTTTCAAATAGAATTAAAAGTTGAAAATTGATCACAGAAAAACTGTTTTACTCCAACAATGTGTTTATTTTTCAATAGATTTTAGCACAGTGAAATTACCAGCGTGAAATTTGCTTCAAATCAATCGATACCGACACCAAAGGACGCAAAACAAAACGGTCGTCAGCATTCAGACGTAGTCATCATTCATTCGCATGAAGAAAGAATTCTCAACGGCTTGTTAAAGGTACAAATAAACTTTTAAACTTGGGATTAATATGAACCATGTCACATGATCGTTATGAGATGTTTTGAATTAATTTCTTTGTTTTTTTTTTCATTTTTAGAAGATTGAATTTGTTCAACGCATACGCCAAAGCACACATTGAATCCACATAATGAGCCAACCAAACGTCATGGAAGTTAACAGTCCACAGCAAAACGTAGAGCAAAACCAAAACCAAGCTGCTATTGCCCGCAAAATTCAATGGTACGTTCAACTGTACGGCGGACCACAACCACAGGTGTTCAAACTAAACACCAATTGCTGGGACAATATTTTCGATTGGCTGTCATTGGAAGATGTTCTTTCATTTGGTCGCACATGCAAGGCTTTCAAATGGGTCGCCGGCGAGTATTTCAAGGAAAACTACCCAAAACGCAGAATATTTTGCAGAAACGGTGACGAACCCATATTGAATGATTTCAGTGAATATGTCCAGATAATCAATTGGACAGGCGAAATAACTGAATCGAATGCATACCTCCTATCAAATTGCAAGTCACTCAAGCGCATTGATTTATTTGACACCACGTTAACTGAATCATCTATAAACACTTTAGGAAGTGCTCTCAAAACGGTTGAAGAAATTTCATTGAAACTCTGCGAATTCGAAGGGCGTGCTCATGAACATTTTGTTAAACGGTGTGTAAATTTGAAATTTCTAGATACTTACGGTATGGCCAAAAATCGCCTTCTTCAAAAATATTCAACACTTGAACGGTTAAAGCTAGTGGGTCCAGTTTTGTGCGATGAATTGAACAGATTTTTCAAGCTGAATCCAAATGTACGAAATCTTACGGTCGAAGGATGCAATGTTGGGAAAATTCGACGCTATCTGATTGATTCCAATATCAAGTTGGATGACTTGACCATTGAACACATTTCGGAACGTGAATCCGATTTCATCGATTCTTTGAATAAACTTCACCTACGTGGTTTTTACAAACATTTACACATCGACCTATGGAACAGCCCATCGAAGGATCAACTAGCTGCATTGCAAGGTCTAGTTACTCTGCATATCCATGAGAGTGTCCTGCTGCCATCACTGCCCAACTTGAAGGAACTGGGTTTCCATGCCGACTTGACTACAATACGCAATGAAGGATTGAACGTGACCGAAATCCCAAACTTATGCATTAACCTCCAACGATTATTCATTCTGACTACATCCGTTGATGACATTTTGCCGTTCATTCGTCATTCACCGCATTTGGTTCAGATCGAAATAGGGTGGTTTAAAGAAAAATCAATCGACCTCCAAGCATTGAATAAAGAACGCAAAAATCTGAAGGGAGCACAAAAAGTGACAATCTACGTTGAAGAGTATGCTTACTTAGCGACAAAATGGGCATCAACCGAAATCAACGTCAGCTTCATCACAATACGACGCTGCGATTCACACAAAGTCAAACTTGCACACACTTTACTATAAAATTGTTCCTAGAATGAAAGTCAGATCAGCGGTATCTACAATTTAATTCTAAATATCATTCAAGATGTCTAAAAGCTTTCGCATTGCTGCTTGATGCATTTAATATTATCTAAATAAGAAAAAAAAACCCAAAAATAAACACAACCATCTCATTTATGAATTTAAACTTTATTATTTTTGCGACTAATTTGTAAATTTGATTATAAATAATGCATATGTCATTTCGAATAAGTTGCAGTTTTCCATCTAATGTATCGAATAAGATTTATTGTGTGTGGATATTCATCGAATTTTGGATTCATAATACCTAAGACTAACATTACATTTCAATAAATATTATTTGGATTACAAATTCTGTTTGCGTTAGCAAATCGGTGTTCTTTTCCTCTTTCTCTTTAAAACAATTTTCTCGTGTAGGAAAATTTCGTTAATTTTTTTTTTGCTTGCGTTAAAAAAACTGCTGTGTCATAACATCGTGTTGCGTTTGGAAGAATTATTCTGTACGTAAAATGTTCGGTTGGAATGTACGTCGAAGTGCGAGTGCAAAAAGGGGAAGGAAATGCGTTGATTCGGCGAAAAGCATCTAGGAATGTGACTAAGGTATTCCAAATGCTACTTTTGATTAAATTTCATGTCGGTTTACACCGGTACAACTACGGTGTGTTATCTCATGCAAATACGCAATAGTTTGCTGTTAATTTTGTGCTATGTTTTGTTTTTTTTTCTTCGTATTTTGTACAAATCCCTAAAAATTTCTACTCTAACTATTTTGCTTAAAAAATGACGTCAAAAATGAGCCCTCGAAAGTGCGGCAGTTTTTTTCCGTATGCTGATAAAGTTTGAATGAAAAGATGCAAAATTGTCTGCTTGCCGAAACCGAATTCATTTCTCATAATATATGAAACAATTGATCCGTACAATATGAAAATTCTAGTTCGAATTGATAAAAAAAAAATGTGATGCCTGATCCATCGCAACAATTAGACTATTTTTTTTTCTCTTTAATTTTAGTTTGTTATTCGATAATTCCGATGATGATTTGCTTCCGAAATCTATGTCAGTCAATGTGTTTATAAATGATACGCAAGACACAGGGTTTGTTTTAGCTATGTCCAATTGTCCATTGATTCTCTGTAGCTACCAGTGTGTCAACACAGTGTATGCTCTACAGATACGCATAATTTATTCCAAAACCATCTTTTTTGCTTGGTTTTTGTCTTCTTTTCAATATAATTTAACATAACAACAACTCTCCTTAAAATTATTAGTATCACAAAAATCGGGAAACAAATAGAGATAAAATTGAAATTGAACGATATCAAATAAAGAAAAATATACATCAAATAATAAATAAATTGGATTTTCTTCCAAAACCAATACACGTTTTCGTCTTACAAATATGGTATTTTAAGGGCATTCTGACTAGTTTCGATTCATTTTTTTCGTCTTCTTCCATTGTCGAACATATTTTGTTTCGCCAAACGAATGGCGTTTGTGCTTTAAATTCTACCATCAATTTTCACATTTTTTAGTTTAAGTTTTAGCCATACACATGACATGTAGAGCGATTATTACATAGTTTATGTTGATTTTTGCACATAGAAAGGGTGAGTTTGATATTCGAATTTCATTTGGATTTATTCGGTTTTATCACTTTATTGTCCATGTGAAATTACTGAATTTGTGCATTGTTCTACCCAGATTGACCTCCATTAAGGGTTGAATTTGATCCTCCACAGAATTTCTGTGCCATTAGCGACAGAATTTCTCCAAGTTTTGTGTGCCGTTCAACAGCTGGAGCGTGCGCTCCTTTGCTGCCCCATAAGAATTTCATATGGAATTCGGTTCTAAAAGAGAAAACGGAAAAGTATTTCATCATTTCAGCGTTGAAAATGTCTTAATACGAAAAGTATTTCATTCAAAATTCTTGACGATGCAAAAATGAAATTCATGAAAACAATGCCATTCCAACAGAATACAGATTACAGAAAATAAACACAGAAAATTGCAAAAGAAACAAAAACTTGGTTCCATTGCGAAAATGCAAAAATTTTGATTAAAGCTGGAAAACATTCTTGGAATTGTTCAAAGTAAGTACCTGAGTTATCATTTATTATTTATTGTACATACCTGAAAGAATCTTCAAGTAGTTCATCGATCCGATTGTCGGTGAGCACGGCTTGTGCGTTGCGTCGATACAAAGTAAGATTGTTGCTGAAGTTTCGTAGTGCTTCTAAATGTGCGTGAACGGTTGTTAGACCAAAGTCAGCTGAACTATTCTCCCAGTGCAAAATGCAAACCGTTGCCAATGATGACGGTGGGCCAGGTTGATTCATATCTGAAAAGGGTGAAAACAATTGAAAACTTGTCCATGTCTATAAATGGAAATACTTCTAAATAATTTCAAAGGTTCTCACGGTTTAGCATATCGGTGACAGTTCGATCTCTTAGCAAAATGAATGGTAAAATGTGTGGAACTGTTGTGTTTGGCGCCAAAGGATTTGTACAGCTATTCATATTCTTGAATTGAGGTCTTAGCTTGGCTTCAAAATTGAATGCGCTATCAGTGTACTTTTGTCGCAGCATATACCAGGTCGACTCCAATTGTTCAATCTGAAAAATGCGAAACGTCTTATTAGACTTGGTTTATTCTCAAAATGTTTATCTTCATTTTTATTTCAACCGTTTCTTTTCTTCACCAAACATCACAATTATATTCCTACCTGTGGCATGCACAATCCCAGCATGATATTGCTAAACCCATAGAGATTACCCAGTGCTGTTTTCGTATCAGTCGCAATTTGAATCCATTTATTGATCGTTTCAGCTCGTTCCGAATCATCGGAGCATGTTAAAACGGTGACAGCAACTAGTAGTCGTATACATTCAGTGCGTTCGATTAAGTCCTTTCTAAATTGTTCGCCGTGGCTCAAGGTGATCAACTCGATGCCGCTGCAGTTGAAAATGCTCTCTTCATTGTTTTCAGTCTTGGAAGCGCCGTCCAAAAGTAGTTTAAAATCGATGCGACTCATGTGATTGGCAATAACTCGTGGCGCTGTTTCGCTCAGCATTATTCGGATCGTGTTCAATGCATCGTTGTCCAATGGTTTATTTTCGATTGCTGGCAATAAAAGTGTGGTGAAATTCTCCAAATCGAATTTCGAGCATTGTTCGAGCTCGGGAATTTCCATCGCCATTAAATTATTTTCAATCTCGGTGTAATCGAATTCGGCATAGCTCTTTAGTGTCGTCGATGAAGCGGAATTTGATAGGAATTTCGGGTTACGAATAACAACACCACCGACACGTTGTGGTTGCTGAAATCCTTCGGCGAGTGTATCATTAGCCGCTGAACTTTGTGCTGAATCACCTGACCCATTGCCCGAATCTGAGCCACTCGCATGATATGATACCACACGATTTAACTGTGGCCCACCATCCAGTGGCAGATCTTTGAGTGTCATTGTGCTGTCATGTCGCAGATTTAGCATCGAACGATTTGGTTTTGGTGGTGGTGAGGTAATTCGTTCATCGGTCGGTGTGATTGCCTCTTCCTCTTCCTCAAACTGCTTGCGAAACGATGACCGATTAAATGTACATCCATCAAGACTACCGTCACGGGTTAAACTGGCCGTTCGTGAATGGATCAAATTGCGTTGAATGCCACCACGAAAGCCATTGTTTGCATTATGCCGAGGCAGAGAGTGTGTGTTGAGACTGTGATTGATGGGCCCGTCGAATGATGTACGGCCAAACGACAAATGACCAATATTTGCACGGTTAAGTGCATCGGTCGAATTCTCATTTGGCGAATCCACACAATCTTTGGCAATATTACACTTATCCTCCAGAATTAAATGCTTTTCGATCTTTTTATTTAACGATCCATTCGACTCGCTGTTTTTCTCTGTGAACAAGTAATGGATATCGGTAAGAATATGATGATTGAATGATGGAAAATGGAATTTAAAGTAGTAGAAAAAGAATTTTTCCGTTCAATTCTCACTCAAACGATTCAATGAATAATTCATTCATGTCTAACCTCGTACAACGCCATCGGCACTGCAATACTTTTCATTTGAATTGCGAATGATAGAGCAGGCGGTCATGGTTTGACCGGGTTGAATGGGTGTCAGCGAATGTGATCGTTGTTTTTTCGACGGTAGTCGCGGTGGTATATCTCGTTTGACATGCGGTGGGGACGATCGTGGACTATGATATGAATGGTTAATGCCAATTAGCTGGCTATATGACGGATATCTAATATTGGGTTTTTGTTTTTCATACGGGAAAATTGAATTTGGAAAAGAAACGAAAAAAATAAATAATCCAATTTGAATAATTGATTGCGTTTTTGGCCAATTGAAATGAATGGAATTTTACAGTTCAATGAAAAACAAAAAAGGAAAATGCATCCAACAGACATCCATATAGAATTTTGTTGTTCAATCAACATACCTAAAGCCAACGTTAACCAGTGATGGTGAATTCAATGGGCTGACACCTCGTGAGCTGGCAATCGATTGGTTGATTCCATATTTGGTTGCATAAAATGATAGCGGATATGTGCGATTGCACGGATGTCGAATGCGTGCTCCAGATGCGGCCGAAATTGATTTACCAGAGCCAACGTAGTATGTAATTAAATCGGGCACGGTATCGTATGCATCATCCTCAAATTGATATTGCACACGTTCGTACACTGTGTCGGGCTGAATTAAAACCTATATACCAAACAAATGAAAATATACAATAAATTTAAACCAAAATGCAAACGATTCAATTAAAATTCGCCAAAATATGCAAATCAATGTCAATGCTTTTCATATGAATAATTGAATTTCAATGTGGAAATAACAGAGACAACGAAAAAAGCGCGGCCAATTTCTCGGTTAATTGGATGGCAGAATAAATCAAATTTCGGAGATGAATCAAGAGCATTCAGTGGAAAATACCATTCGAAAACATGCGTCAGAATGGAAAATTTCAACGGGCGTATGTTTTGAAAACAAAAATAATAAAACGTCTGTGTCTATGGAGATGTTGTAACATTGATTCGTGGTATATCTTGAAGATGCTGACGTAAGTCGATCATTTGTTTGAGCATGACAATGATTCGTATTACAATACATGCACTTGATAGACATTGTAAAATAAAATCCAGCAGACTGCGAACGACATTCATGCTATTGATTTGCCAATTCTATTATTGTCCGGAATTTTATTACATAGAATTAGATTACACACGATATTGCTCAAGAGTGGGATTTGATGGATTTTATTGGGTACACTATTCGAACCATTGGCGACGACCGAGGGGGAGTGACGGTGGTGAAATAGTGGAGCGGTTGAATGACACAGAGTAAGCAATGATATCCGATTTCGTAACTTCATTGGGTAAACATTGCCGTTGCTTATCGATTTCTCGTAAAAAAAAAAAGAATAACCATTCAATCGACTTTGAATGGCAGCAGAGCAACGGTTCAGACGTGTTTCATCCTCAAAACAGTCATCGACGCAGAAAAAAAGTTATCCAAACTCACCTTATTTATGACAAAATGTAGAATGGATCCCTTTGTCATGCATGTGAGCACGTAGTTGCCGGGCTGTGACACACAGTCTCGCACGAGAAAGTTGCCTTCCTTTTCAACAAGTTCTTCGGCACGTTGCCGTGGTATTGACGCATAGTACCATGCATGCGAACGTAAATCGGTTTTATCCAACGACAATTCCCATTCGAGCGCCTTCTTCAGTGCAATCGATTCTTGTGTTGGTGTAATTGGTGTCGATGCACCGCTACCGCCGTTTGTTGCATCTCTGTTTGTTGCTGGTTGTTCCTGAAAATACCATTAAAAAAAGCGGTTATTATTTTCCATTAACAAAAACACAATGTGCCGCTGCTGATGCTCATTTGCGCTTATTGTCGCTAACAAAAGCATCTTTCATTTTAAACTGTTTTCCTCTCCCTTTTTTCTATGCCACTCACCATATCTAATAGATCGCCCAGACTTTTACTTTGTTTTTGTTTGGTTTCCGCTGTGTTTAGTGCCTCGTATCTGCAAACAAGAAAGTTTCATTTTAATATACTACAACGTACTTGGTGGGTACATCCCCAGTAAACTAAAGAAAACTGAATGATAAAAAACGACCCTTTGCAACCATTTAAATACATTCATTTTAATTATTCCGTAGCTTTATGAAGCTTTCTCGTAGTAGCCCAGAGAATGTTTAGAGATTTTTAAATGTGTATTTGAATCAATGAAAAGCGGATAAAATGGAAAAGTTTCTCTTTTCGAAACCAATTAGACATTCGGTGAATGAATCACTTTTTAATGACTCATCCTGAACTCAAACAACGGATTTTCTAATCGTCGGAACACAACTTGTCACTTGGATTAATTCAAGCACACTCCTGAGCTGTTATTTTTCGAAATTTACGTGCAAATTATCGTCGCATCGTTGTACAACACCATTTCAAATAAAAACTTTGTCTAACTCTCCGGCGTCGCTTTAATTTATATCATGTTTTTTATGTTATTTGTCGTGTGTTTTGTTTTGTAATAAAAAAAAGTTTCAACAGAGCGGTATTTCCGGTACTAGTCGTGCTTTATATTTATCAGAACAAATATTTTCATTTAGCAGCGACCGTAAAACTGAAGTTAGGCGAACAAATAGCAGCTACAAAGGAAACGTCTGAATGGTTACCGGGACACTTCATGTACATAATTTCAATGAAGCGCTGTGCTGATGATGAAAGGAAGCATTCAGAATGAAATTCATTTTGCTTTCATATTCATTGAGTCAAATTTGTCTCGTACACACTTGCAAAAGCAAGCAAATGCGCTCTAATTAAAACTTTTACGCTGCGTAAAGATGCTGAAAGCGCAGTCGATAAAAGTCACTTGTCAACATCGTAATTTTAAGCCTTGCATTTGTGTTGATAGTTTGTGGGCTAAAGCTTTTCCAAAATTACACGTTGCCCAAGCAAATGGGCTAATGAATGATGTCGACTAATTGCATTTGTTTATCGAAGAAATGATTGCAAAGTTTTCGGTTTTTGGCAGCTTAAAATTGGAAACTTCAATGGATTTATGTCGAAAGTAGTTTCTTCGATTTTCCAAAATAGTCAAAGTTTTTAGTCTACCCTTTTCGATTGAATGTTCAATGAATAGAGACATTGAACATTCTTCAAAATCCATTCGAAATATGTCGAAAGTTTTCGAAAATGCTATTTAAACTCTCATTTGACTTTTGCCAACTAATTTCGTTTCCGTCGTCATGATGACGCAAAATTGGTTCCGATCCATTGAATCAATTGTCTTGATCCACTCCATTTCGAAATGACATTCAACTCTTTCTCTCTCGGAATAGGGTTTGGGGTTTGACGGCGTGCAGCCGATTGTGTTTAACAAATATTGGTCCGTTTGCCGTGGTAATGTATGTAGCAGTTAAGCCTTGATGTTTGCTTTTGGCTCAGTTCGATGTTGTTTGGTTGTTATTCAATGGTTTCAAATGATTATGCAATCACACGATGAGCTTCCTGCGCTCCTTTCTCTCCCTCTTCATCCGATCTCTCCTCCGTGTGCGCTTGTTCAAAGAGCAAATAACGAAGCAAATGCAAATTTACATATTTTCTCTGACTTGATTTAGAGTTAAATCGTTGTGCATAGCACAATCGAGTCCCCTCTCTCGTTAGTGCGACATAAAATCATTCCACATTTTCTCTACGATTTACGTAAATAATTAATTTAGCCTCACATTGGATTTGTGCATGCACAAAATAGAAAAACAAAACGCATTTAGCAAACGTTGTTGACTGCCGTTTAAAATGTGTGTGTGTGATGCGTGCAACACGACGAACAAAACCGGCAAAATTAAGGATGCTTGAAAATAATCAAAATGCTTTTTGTTTTCTACACCGACTGAACAACCAGAAAAGGTGTAATAGTGAAAACGTGTCGTTTATTTTCCAAATTTATATGAAATGGCGTAATGAGGTTTTGTCGTCATTTCCATACACTTGTTTGGCGCTTGCTGTATACATCTCTTTTGGGAGGGAGACCACTGAGAAATGAAGTGACGACCCCTTTAGTGATGTCTCAAATATCCTTCAATCTTTTCGACGATAGAATAAATGAGCGTTGCACATGATGTGAAATAACAAAAAGACGGTCGAATCATCAAAATGAATCATAAGTGACTCTTCACCCCTCACAGTCTTTCCCTGGAGAGTGAGACACCGTGAGCTGCGTCATTTGTTTGCCGCTCGTTTTCATCGAGCCGTCATCGTTTTAGGCCAACGCAGCGAAAATAATTTCTGATTGCTTGTCTACGTTTTATGTATTATGCAAAAAGTAAATCATTTTTTTCCCTCCCCTTTGCCACCGCCGTGCATGCGTTTTATGTGTGTGTGAGTGTGTAAAAGATTGAGTCGAAGTTTTGTGCAGATATATTGCTCACGCACCCACAACAAAAACGGAAGAGGAAAAAAATACGACTCATGAAAAATGCGAACTGAATGAAATATTCAAAGGCAAATGTGAATGGAAACGATATTATGAGCTGTAAATATGAATGCAAATGTCATAAATGTTTATAATTTGTTGCAATGCGCTCTTTTGCCCCGCAGCGGAACACACTCCAACCGAAATAACGGATGCAATGGAAACAATTTTTTGTGCCGACTCAACACAGCAGCGTAGATATGAAAGATCAGCAATGAAGGATGAATAGTAAAATGTACAGGAAAAAATGCCACAAACAAAGAAAGTGCACTTGCATTGAAATGTATCCATTCTAATGGGTTTCTGCTCTTTGTTGTTCATTATTTTTGCCATTTAATGTAGCAAATATGCTGGAATATCGGTTTCAGATGTAAAATTGTAAAGTATGAAGGAGATTTTTGCCGAATGGATTTTCTTCCCTTTAGCAGCACATTAGCACGGTATTACGGGAACGTTTTTTTCGAACTGCGCTTTTTATCAGGCGCCACACTTTTATTCCATTTTAATTCCATGGAATTTATTACGGCCGATTTGTCATGACTTGCCAGAGTTTCGGGTGAATTAATTATAGTCATTAATGATTTCAAATTGAGTCAAATTTTCAGTCATTTGGTTTTAAAATCGTTGCTTACGTAGTGCCTTGCTGGTAATTGATAGGTATGAAGGACGAATAATTATTCGTCCTTTTAATTATGATTTACATCCTTGTAATCAAAGTACGTGTTAACAATAGAACGGTAGAGTAATTCCGTCAAAATCACATTTGTAATTTTTAGGTATTTATGAACCAATTTTCTTACAATAAACCAGCCCATCATTGTCTTAATCGAGTTTATTACATTTTTCATGGTTTAATTTAGAATTGTACATTGTAATCTTGCCGATTTATGAATATTGGAGCGACCAACAATGAGTACCATTGGCTCAGTTCGGTTGACTTTGAGATTCGAGGAAACTGAAGTAAAAAGCATACAACCAAGTTGTATTGAAGAACATTTTGTTTTTTATACAGATTGACGTCGTGTATCAAGTATCATTCCATATTGGACATGTTTGATTCAAAAACCATTCCATCAAACTTGCTCTCATCTTCAATATACTGGTTAACTGATTCAGATACAATCTCCGATTTATTTTCGGTTTTAAAATGTTGAGAAGATAAAATGTAAGAGACAGAGGCTATGTTCCGACATATGCCGAAAACATTATGCACGCACCCACAGCGCCCATGCAGACGGAAAAAACTCATAAAAATGCGAACGAAATGAAAAATGCAAAGGCAAATGTGGATGGAAACGATAGTATGTGCTGTAAATATGAATGCAAATGTCAAAAATGTTGAGAATTTGTTGCATTGCGCTCTTTTGGCCCCCAAAGCGAAACACACTGAAAAACCACTTTGTGGATAAAATGAAAACTTTTTTCCCGGCGCAGATATTAAAGATCAACAACAAAGGAAGAGCAAAAAAAGCGATGGAAAAAATATCCGTATACAAAAAAAATGCACTTGCATTGAAATGAATCCATTGTAATGGTTTTCCGCTGTTCGTTGTTCATTATTTTTTGCTATTTAATGCAGCAAATACGCTGGAATATCGGTTTTCAGTGTGGCACAAGAGATGTTTACTGAATGGATTTTTCCTTCAGCAGCATATTACGCGGCGTAACGGCATTATGAGAGTCGTTTCTGTTTTTTTTCTATCGCTACGTGAAATCTGTGTTTCACTAGCGCCACACACTTATCCCATTTGAATTCCGTTGAATTTATTACGGTCGATTTTTCATTCCCGGCAAACTTTCGGCGGATTTATGGTGGGGCAAGAGAACATATTAAATAATATGCTGTTTTTATATTCATGCTATTCATCGTTGTCGTCGTGGAGGAGAATAAAACCATTGTTCAAAACCATTTTTCCCTTTATGGAACAGTGAAACGAAAAAATAAACTGGCCACATTGAAATGAGAACAAAGTAAATGCTTTGAAAAAAGAAACGGTTTTATGTCAGTTGACTGCGCTCATTTAGTGAGCCAAAATTCAATGTGATTGTGTTGATTTTTCACGATTCATCTTCTTGATACAAAAAAGATCGTGGTATAATATTTTTGGTTTTTGTAATTATCAACGGAAAAGAAGGGTTGCTTCCATTGACGTAAGAAGAGAAAATACTCATCTCTGTATACAGCATTTACAATGTACTTGTACATACCCCACAGAAACTTTTCAAACCCAATTCCATCGAACATGTTCTCCGTTCAATATTGGTGTAGACTGATTGAGATGCCCTTAAACTTTTTTTTCGTGCTCTAAAAATTCGACGAAGATAAATGTGGTTGTTTTGCAAGTTTTTTTATTCTGATTGTTCGGTTATCTCTCTTCTGCCATTCTTCATGTGACATCATCAATGACGTGATCGAGAAGAAAAAAAGACTCGATACAGACGACAGAACATTTGTCTAAATCGAACAACTATCAAGAGTGTCGTGAGACGTGCTTTGGCATTTTTGATACTCGGTTCGAGTTGAGTGCACATGCACAGTTCTCAAGTGACTA